AAAATGCGTCATGAAGCTAGGCTCTTTCCAGTAGGCAAAATAAGATAAAAAAAAAATTTCACCTATGTAGTTTAGTTGAAGCTCGCGCCAGGCTGTAAAAGAATGCATTTAATCCGCCATAGCGTGCTATAAGCTTAGTTGTAGTTATGTAATAGCTGGTAGGCGAAAAAACGTCGAAACTCCGCCCTCAAAATGGAAAGACGCATAGTTGAGCGATGAGTCGAATACGCAATTCGCATTTACAGAGACCGTCTCAACATTGTAGGTCGTTATCAAATTATAACGAATCAGTAATGGTGCGTGGCTTGTGACAGCTTCTCCGGTCCGAGGCGGAGCGGAACTGAACAGATCAGGAACCGTCGCAATATAGCCTCAGCCAGCGCTCCAGTATACGGTCATAGACACAAAGCTGCACAGCCCGCCATACCGCACCCACACACGGGATGTATTAGGAACTTCTTGGACTGCTAGATTATGGTCACGTGTTTGTTCCACCTGCCTTAGCGGCGCCCGCAGAATTTGCTTCCCCCGGGAACGCAATTATGCTAACGAATTGGCATGTCCGAGTTGTCAGGGTCTTAGCACTTGCGAATCACAAACATCCGTACGGAAAACCCTCGAGGCCTTCGTTATTTGAGTTAAGCATCGAAATGACCGGGGGGTGAATGCGTCACAATAACGCAGGAGCTGAGACCTTACATAGGGATGGCCTTCAAAGAGTGACCCTGAATGAGGAACAGTCTGAAGAAGTCCCACTGCCGATTTGTTGGTCTCGGAGGTCGAACTGTGTTGCGGTGAGTGCCCCTCCAATACGATTAGGTGATGACCTGTAATGTTCTCGAACTTCAGCCTAATCTGCTTCGATCCTTTCAGGCTCTGTAGAAGGCAATCCCGCCGAAACGTAAGGCAATAAAGGTGAATTGACAACCCCGTGGAGTTCAATCAAGAAATCTTACAGTCATCACAATGCCGAGGTTCATGGAGAGCCCTACGTGGTACTGATTGTTTGTCCCACTGTATCGATGTCTTTCAGTTGGTGGCCATGTCACTGCTGCTGTATGAATGATCCCCTCCAGTGTCGAATATGATGTGAATTGTTTCGAGTGTTCCGGATGATGGGAGCTCGTCCAGCTGAAATTGGAACATCTGCTTGAACTTGTGAATCAAGGATGACAGGCATTATTTGGAGCTGATTTCGTGGAGAACCTCGACGTATGTAGTGTAATTGGTCAATGAAGGACGTCCAAATCGTTGAAGGCTTCGCAGATGTATTACTGCAGATGTTTAATGGGTACTGGTCGATTATTTTGACGGTAAACTTTACCTTTTACACACAGAAGTATTATGATCCGCCTTTTCTGCATATACGGGAGGCTCCTCTTGCACAGGTTGAAGCTTTGCGACCTTCATTGCCACAGCTATGACAGAGTTCTTGCTGTTTCGTAATTTCAACACGTTGTTCAAATGGTGTGAGTTCGTTGCAGTTTCGTGTGATATCCATCTTTCCTACAACGGAAACATAAGGTCTGGTAACACTCGTGATATGCGGTTTCGCGATTGGGATCCCTCCTTGGTATGTACTCTTCCGCTGCTGCCACTAGTGACTGAGTAACCCATGTACTTTCGACCTTCTGTTTTGATTTTAGTTGAAGAATTTATCGTTGGACGTCAAGGAAAGCTTTCCAAGTAGCTGTTTCTGTAGAAAAGGCTTACCTACGTGCTCGTTCGAATCACACTTGAGACGCCAGAGAACCCATTCTCTCACAAAGAGTTTCCTGATCCTCAAACAATTAATCTAAGCTGCGTTGCTTAAAAATTGGAATGAGTTTCACTACTTTTTCGTCGCCATAATTGCTTCAAAGTAAGCCATCACCTAAAAATGTGTGTGTCCTGAGTCTTCGGATTCACGGAGTCTCTACCTTTCCCCATGGAGGACATCCCGAAGGTAGTTGAGTTTGTAGAGATTGTCAATGCCCTTTGAAAACAGTGCGTTCAAATGTTTCTCTAAAGTATCTCACATACCCAGATTCCGCCAGAATTTGAAGACAAGAGCTAACTCCGTTTCTGACAACTCAGGTAGAGCCAGGGATTCGGCTCTTCAGAGGACTTATTCCCTGCAGAAGTGAGGCCGAGATTGTGTGCGCTTCCTGTGATCCGTCTAGCAATCTGCGCGCTAGTCCTGCAATTGACTCGGTCCTTTTCAAAAGACTCGACGCTGTTAGTTTTTATGGGTCCAAGCAGCTGACCGCAGTGGTATACTTCTCCAGAGCGATATTCACTCCTTCGACTCCAGTTCAATCGCTGACCTGGCTTGTCCGATTCTCTGACTAAGCGCGTGGCAATATTCTGGTTACGGTGCGGTTGTACGGCTAGAAGATCTGCTACCTTGCGTGGAAGAGATGGCAGATACCTGGCGCTGGAGCCTGTGCGCGGGCGCCGGGCACTTACAAGCCGAAGTGATCAGGTGATCGTTGCATATTGTATTTTAGACGAGAAAACGACTTACCTTTAGAAAAAGTTTTCATCCAGTTTCAACATAGCACTTGATAAATAAAGACAGCAGCCGAAACTGAGCGCGTTCAAGGCATCACTCATGTGCTCCTCTTAAGCTTGTCCCTCTGCCATCGCACAAAACCAGTAATTCCCTATTTCTACTATGCTGTGTACGCAGGGGTTTGACGTGTAGTGTGTGCACCACTTCAGCCAGTGCCTTGTTTAAATCGCCATGGATTCCTTCAGGAATAAATTGTTTGAACTGTTTTCTACTTCAAAGCAGGGTCCAATCATCGGGCGTCGCGGAATTGAGGGGGGGGGGTGGTTTCAGCCCCCTAGAAAGGGGTGTCGTACGACTCCCCCCCCCACCCCCTTTATAGACTGCCGCAGTTTGATGGAGGTAACTGTGTGTTCATCAGGATTGTAGTCTGTACAGTCCTCGTGTTCATGCGGACCGGTGGGGCGTGGCAGTGCGGCTGCGTTTGGTGCGGTTTGGCAAAATCGTTCTGCACCAGTTTTTGAAGCGGGCAAGTGCATTACTGTATTATATCCTTCGTATTACTCGTTTTCTACCACTTTTGTCGCATATACACAATAAAAGAGCTGAGAACGAGAACGGCTTTAACGTGTGCGCACTCCTTTCTGGCATGACACGACCCACCGGTCCGCAATGGTGGAATTGTACAGTTCCTCATCATTGCGGAACGGTGGGCGTGTCAATGCTTGTCTCGTTTCCGCGCGGTGATGGAAGTCGTTCTGCATCCACTTGTTGAAGTGGGGCAAGTGCTATATTGTATATATAATTCGTATTACTCGTTTGTCTACACTTTTTGGTCACATAGCGCGCGTTTCAACAAAAAGAGTGGAACGGTTCAACAGTTGTTGCGCACTCTCGGCGAAAACGCGGCCCACCGGTCCGCAATGATGAGGATGTATGTTGCATGTCATGCTAGTTCAGGAATGAGGAATTCGTTACCATCGAGCGAAGGCACTAAAACTGGACGAGATCAGTTTCTACAAGTTGTGTGATGCACAGAGAAACTTCGAAAAAAACACCTTACTATGAAACCCTCCAAACGAAACAAAATAAAGACGAAGCACTGAGTTACTGCGGCTGCGCCGCGTATTGAGAATGGAGCTGGCCCATTGCGTATTATTTGCATAGTATTTTTTTGTTTTCAAAAAAAGAATAACTTTATTCGGAAAACATCTTTCACAGAATCGTAAGGCAGATTCAAGTTGTATCACCAGGTTCTATACGAAATACACTATAGTTTTCATCAAGCCTGCACTACAGCTTCTGGCAAAAAAATAACGCGGAGAATTTCAGGCGAATGCGAGTTCTTCACGTTTCAGTGGGATTAACTTCGTTTGGATATGAGATAGAACGGGAATCTACCATTGCAACCTAGAAGGTTTTCTCTTTCGAATGAATACTAAAGCTTTGCTGTTGCTCAATGATAGCGAAAATTTGCCCGTTGTGGAAAATCATAGAAGTAATGCATTTTTCAGCGAATGCGTGTTTTCACCTTTCGAAGGCCATAACTTCGTTACGGCATGACGTAGAAAGGAGATCTACACGGCGCTGAGAAGTGGAAGGTTTCTCTTCTCAACGAGCGAGACAGGTTGGCTGTAGCTCAATTACAGCGAAAGTTGGCCCGTTGCAGGTTTCCAGTTGAACGTGATTTTCAGATGTTGCATGAGGATCTCCCCCCCCCCCCTGCAATGCCCACTTTTCCACCTAGAAAGCTCGGTAGGCCTCCCGTACACCTCCTCCTCATGTACTGAATAGGAACTGCAGCACAGACGCGCTGATCAACACCCCCATGGAATGCGTCATGCACTCAAATTCCCCTCCGAAAGATCACTCATCCTGCAAGCTACGTCGCTGCTGTGTTTAGTACTGACCTCTGCAAATAGGACCATCCCCTCCTCCCGAGGAAGCCGGATATGACCCCCTCCCCCTGTCGCGGATTCCGCGACAACTGCTTGACCCTGTTCAAGAAGGTGCACCAAGCAAAGTAAAACTATTGTTAAACCTCGTTCAACACTGTTAAGCGGCCCAAAATCTTCGGTGGTGGAGTTTTTTTTTCAAATAATGGACTAACCATTTTGATGCTAAGGGTCTAAAAGAGAGAAATGATGCGGAAAACAACGATTTGTAGGCTGGCCAAGGGAGGCGGCGGATCAGCTGGAGTGGAACCAGCAACTCTGAAAAAGTCGTACAGTAAGACTACCAAGGGATCATCTCTTCAGGGCCGTTCTCAGTGGTTTTTTCGTTTTTTCTCCTACTGGAGTGTCACTTAGCCACAAAAGGATCATAACAAACACCACTATCTGCAAGATGTGATCGCAAGACGTGTTCTTGAGGCAGGAATGTTTCATAGGAAGGAATCCGTCAAAGTAAACACGCAAGAGCACATTGGTACTTTTTTCAAGTGTACGTATACTGTTAATATGTCCAACAAGTAGTTCACTTCATCGAACTTTTCAACTAACGTCTCAACTCACTTGTTATACAGCACCAAATCAGGAGTCCAAATGAAATCGCTTGGTATATGTAGCGTCCGTAGACCACCATACTTTAACGGATCCCATGTGAGCTTAGAATCAAACCACTTCTGCAAAGGAGGCGTTACTTCAGTCTAGAAAAGGGGGCTGAATATCTAGAATCATACCATTTCTAACCATAAATTCGTTGTAAGCACTTGATTTTTCTCGTCCTGTAATGAATCCCACACTGAGTTGAACAGTGTTGCAGAAAGAAATTTCCAAAAACTTCCTCACCACGTCAATGATCCGAATAAGAGAGGCGCCGACGTCAACGGTCAGGATGTCTGAGCTATTCTTAACAGGTCGTGGAATTTTGTTGTAGTCAAAGAGAAGGTCCTCATAAAGTTGGCCTTCGAAATCTTTGGCAAATTTCGTGAACTTTGTAGCTTCCGTCGTGAATGATATCCACAAAATAATACTTTCCCATCGCGTAAGCATGTTAGTTAGCGAGATCTTTCGCTTTTCCATACAGCTTGCCTGTCCTCAACGATTGAATTGGCAAGTATAAAGCTATTTTTGCACAATCTGCCCTTTATTTTCTCGTTATTTCCCCGATTTCGAACTTCGAGTTAGAACATAGAATTGGCTGGAAATTGGTGTCAACAGGTACTTCGACTACTTGGACACGAATATACAGTCCTCATCATTGCGGACCGGTGGGGCGTGTCAGCCAGAAGGAGTGCGCACACTGTTGAAGCCGTTCTCAGCCTTTTTTGTTGCAACGCGTATGCGACAAAAAGTGGTAGAAAACGAGTAATACGAAGGATATAATACAGTAATGCACTTGCCCGCTTCAAAAACTGGTGCAGAACGATTTTGCCAAACCGCACCAAAGCAGCCGCACTGCCACGCCCCACCGGTCCGCAATGATGAGGACTGTAGCACCCGCTCAACACGGAACCGCCTGACGCTGGCGTCGAAGTGCCCGAATCATCATCGCTGAAAACTTATCCTCTGCGGCAGTTTCTTCTTCCAGACACGATTATTACATCGCATGGGGTGCCAAGAGACGGGGTAAGGGGAGGGGAGTGAAATACACGTACCACAGCTGTTTCTTCTCGTCTGCGCCCTTTCTCCGAGATAATGATCCCTTCTGCTAACGTTGGGCCTCAACCAAGAATTAAATTGGACGACTTACGCTACTTCACTACGATGCCTGGGACGCGGGCGACAGGGGGTTTCAGGCCAAGCAGATGTGGTAGTCGTGAACAAGAGGTCAAACTCCGATCTTATAAACTGAGTGCAATGGGGCGTGTCAGGCCGGTTTGGTCCGGCGCAACACCATTCCGTTTTTTTTCCTTTCAGCAAGCGACAAAACGGTATCATATAGTTCGTATCAGTCATTTTCCAACAAATGATGTCGCCTATTCACTTCAACAACTGGTAAAGAACGGCTTGTGGCGCTAAAACGAGCCTCACTGACACGCCTCATCGCTCGCGCCGAACAAGATTGATCCTCTGGGAGCAAATGTCTAGTCAAATCGCCTTCGGGGAAAAAAGTTAGCAAAGAAATCGGACTGATTATAGTAGATTTGGGTAGTAAGGACGAACAGTGCCAATTTTTATTGTTTTGTTGACCTACTCGCCAACGCCCGAAATGAGAGAATCATTGGAAAGACACGTGCTTATTCTACGCACAATGGAGGATCCAGAGGGAATGAAATCTTCCGCAATTCATAATGGTTTGATGTGAGGTCACCTCATCGGAAAACCCCCTTTTTGTCAAAGACGGTTCCAAAATCAAGGTAGAAAATCAGACAAAACTCCAAAGAATGTTACTCATGGGTCAACTCTCACTCCGAGAGCACCTCTTGCTGCTTTCGGAGGATTCTGCTGCTCACACAAAGCGAACTCAAGCTGTATAATCTAAAACAACAATGCGAAAGAAGAGAAAGAACTACATCCAACAAGAGAATGGTCAAGATTTGTCGTTCGAACAGGTGCGCTATTTCCTGAGGAAGAAAAAGAAGAAAGTTGTTCTCGAGCAACTGAAGCGGCGCCACTCTTTTAGGTGCAGATTCTTGAGATTAAATAGGGTGAGCAGCGCTAGTGCTAACCCGAGGTAGAAAAATCGATGCGTGCAAGGGAAGGATTGGGCGTCTTACATAACAAAATGCGTCGAAGCTGTTTAAGCAGACTTAACATCCAACACCACTTCTGACCACGAAACAAGGCAGCACAGCTTTTCAACAATGTCTTGAAGTGCAAATAGGGCATTTGCAAGAGTTCAAGAGTCCTCTTTGACTCTGAAAACTTTATGATAATCATATGCGAAATAAGATTTGGTAAGTGAAGTGTGAAGAACATTGTTACGAATAAACACGGCAGGTTTTAGCACTGATCGTTCTAGTAATAAGGATCTGTCACTGGAGTTGATTTCACTGACATTGAATGCGAGTACGTGGTCTTATAACACTTGCAAATACAAAGGTATGTTTTTCATTTGTTCTACACTGGAGAGCTCCCTATCTGTTACTGTGATTTCGTTGACCGCGAATGGACATCCTTAAAGACACATGGTACGCTCAAACACATTGAGGGTGTATGAGACTATCAGCCCCCCAGCTGTCGATGTGTCGTGGTCCCCCCGCCCAAACATGCCCAGGAATGGAGATACAGGACCGTGAAACACGCTAGTTCCTCCATGCTCCGCCTTACACCTTTTGCGGCGCAGATTCCCGTCCTTCATAACATCCGTTGCAAGCGCGCGTGTCGCGTGCGGCTCCTTGGCACTTTGCCAAGTCCTTTAATTGCGCTCTCAAATACGAGTAAAACGCAATTTCCTGATGCGGATAACATTGGAGGTGCTACAAAATAAGAACAGAAGATGATGACAAGGGCCAGAACTCAAGAGCAACTCGGCTGCATCCGCAGAATCCATCAGAGGCCGCGCATTCCCCGAA